CACAAAACTTTTCTTTTATTGAAAAAAATTATTTTTTTCCCCCCCAAATGATAGTTTTTATTATTTCTCTATATATGTACTATATATATGGGGTAGTTGGTGTCTTATAAACATATTGGAAATATATGATGATAAAATGTACTACATATATATATTGCATATATTTATGATAGTAAATTAAATTTTAATTGCCATCTATCGTTAACATTTTTTTTTGACATATTTATGATAATTAAATTGAAAGAATAACACCCCCCTATATATATATATATATATGTATATTTTGAAAATAGTATTCAATAATAAACAAGAAATTTATTGTTTTTGAGTATTTTAAGTGTGTGAAGTACATTTAATACCAAAACTATATAATTTGTAAACATAAGTTATTTTTTCCTAACAACATTCAAACTCGCCTATCTCTATTTCAATTCTGTACTATAAATAAATAAATTATTATTTTCAATAATTTGCGATATTAGGACTAAAAAATGTTTTCTTATTTTACATCTCAGTGAGTTATAAAAGATGTTGAATCATCTTCTAAGGATGTTATAAAAGATATTATCCAAGGAATACAGGTTACCTTTTTTTTTGTCCAGGAACTTGGGTTATAAATAGCTCTCTCTATAGTTTACCTCAAGTTACTCAAGAGATATAAAAGCTATTAGTACTAATTTAGTATGTTTTATTAATATGCTTACCTTTATTTCATACACTAAGTGAACTTTATATATAAAGGATCTCTAGGTAGTTGGTATTCTGTGTTTCTACAAATCCAGTTGTCTTTATTTATTTTCTATAAAGAATGCTATGAAAGATATTACCCGAGGAATACAAGTTACCTCAAGACAGATAAAAACTATTAGTAGTAATTTAGTATGTTTTATTAATATGCTTACCTTCATACTAAGTGAACTTTATATAAAGGATCTCTGGGTAGTTGGTATTCTGTGTTTCTACAAATCCAGTTTTCTTTATTCCTTTCTATAAAGAATACTATAAAAGATATTACCCAAGGAATACAGGTTACCTTGAGACAGATAAAAGCTATTAGTACTAATCTAGTATGTTTTATTAATATGCTTAACTCCATACTAAATGAACTTTATATAATGGATCTCTGGGTAGTTGGTATTCTGTGTTTATATAAACCCAGTTGTCTTTATTCCTTTTTATAAAGGATGATAAAAAGATGTCATAATATTGAGTGTTTTTTTTATTGATATAAACTATAATCTTCATTTCATACCTCCTAAGTTGAGAAATATATATATTTTTTTATGGTAAAAGTGTTTAATGATATTAATACTTGGTATTTCTTTGATTACTAATCTTCATTTCTCCCATACTAAGTGTTAAGAAATGTTTGGTGACTGGTAAAAATATTGATAAATTCTTATTTTCTTCATTTCATAAGTTTTTTTTGAGGCGGGTATAAAAGTTATACTAAAATATGAATTTAGTGATTTTATATTGTTACAGTATGTGTTCTTTGTTTCATTTACTATAAGCTAAGAAAAATGTGTTTAAGTGGGTTAAAAAGTTATTTTAATTTTTTGTGAGTGATTTTTTTTATTCATACAGTGTACTTTTTTCTTGGCTTCATATACTATAAGTTAAGAATTTTTAAAGTCTGGTATAAGTTATACTAAAATATGAATTTAGTATTTTTATATTGATACATAAAGTTTATGTGCTTTTCTTAGCTTCATTTACTATAAGTTAAAAGAAACAAATTTGTGCAAGTCTGGTAAAAGTTATAAAATATTAATATAGTGTTTTTTTATATTAATATATTCTAATCTTTTCTTTGTGTGTGTTATTCACATACTATATGAAAGAAGCTATACTTTCTCCAATATTTTAAACAAATTTTCTACTAATAGTTAAAAGAGAAACATTTCAAATAGATTAAGAAAGTTTTTTTTTTAATGATAAAACTAACGTTTTCTTAATTTTCTTCATGCTAAGTTAAGAAGCACAAAGTCTTGTTAAAAACTATAAAAATATTAATTTAGCATTTTTCATTGATATATATATATAATACTAATCTATTATTCAATTCATACTAAGGGTTAAGGAACAATTTGTTTTATAATGATATATAATGATTATAATCCTAATTTTTTGTCTTTATTGATATATATTCAATCTATTATTCTCTCTTTATTTCTAGCACTATGTTAACGAATGTGTTATAGTATTAATACTATTATTTTTGATTTTGTAAGAGATTTACTATTGTTGTTAATAGAAATGTTTAGTTGACTATTTTTTTTTTTCAATTTCAGGAAATGTAGTTATATATATATATATGGTACATTGTTCGTTTTTGTAGCCAGTTTGTATAGATAGCTTTAATTTGTGTTTTACTTTTTTTTTTCTTCAGATGTTTATAGAGTTATATCTCTATATTGAAAGGGTATTTTCTGTTTTCTTCAGCAGTTGGCATTAAAAAAACATTAAGAAAAATTCAAATAACCTTTATATCATTACTTTCTATGATAATTTTTTTTTCAGAATTTTTTCCTCAAGTTTTTGTTTATTATACTAGATAGGTTTTATTATCTTCTTTTTTTCTAACTAAAATTATTAAAAAATATTTTTTTTGAATGCCTATTAATTTTTTAAAATATAATCACAGAAAGTTACAAACTTCAACATTTCTAAGATAGCATACTAATGCATCATTATTTTGAACTTAAATTGATTTTTATTTTTCAGATATAAGATAATTCTCTTTTTTACTATTCTAAAATAAACAAAAATTGAGAATATAAATATATATAGATTTATAATTTATCAAATAGAATGTTGTTATGTCCAATGAAGAGTCAAAGATGTCTCACTTGTTTTTTTATCAAGGCAATCGCAATGTTTCATTGTTTGCTCTTCATTGAAAAATGGATGCTGTTGCCACATTGGTCACCTTGGAACCAGACCAGAATTTGGTCAAATACTCCAAGAGTCCAGAAAAAGACTTTAAGGAGGCATGGTCAAACTTCAAGTCGGATATCAAATAGTATGATTTGCCTAAAAGGATATGAATGCATATATAGAGATATGTAATATCACCCCATATATGAATAATTACAATAAGAACTTATGATTGAGTTTGATAAACCTTATATAAGCACAACCAGACCAGAATTTGGTCAAATACTCCAAGAGTCCAGAAAGGACTGCAGGTACGCATGGTCGGACATCAAATAGTATAATTTGCCTAAAAGGATATGAATGCATATATAGAAATATCTCCCCAAATATGAATAATTACAATAAGAACTGAGGTTGATAAAATTTATATAAGCACATGCTTTCACATCTCTAACAGAATATCATTGAACTAACTACCATTTTATTTACATATATAAGCTTCTTTTATAGTTTTTTTAGGTATTATATGCAACATATTGCTATATTTTATTGAATATGAAAGAACCTTTTTACAAATCTTAATTATGTCAATTGTTATTATATGTCTATATTGTTGAAATATATATGAGAAAAAAATTTTCAGAAATATTTGCATATGTCCACCTAATTACATATTGGCACTGATTTTTACCGCAAATTGTTTTTTTCCACCACACATTATAATACCTAAGAGTCTGGTATAGATAAAACAATATGTAAGTTACCAATGTCATAATTGTTGTTTACCCCATTTTTTCTAGTCATTATTAGGTGAAATATAAAGTATTATATATATGTTTATATATGCAATAATATTATATGCTCCAATATAGTAGGTTCCTTTTTTTTTAGATTATTAATATGTTTTTTTGGAAAGTCTAAATGTTTGTTTATTTGTATGTGGATATAAAAAACATTGATGTATGTAAGGTTTTTTTTTTTCATTATTATTATTGAACATTTTTGTGTGTATAATAGACAAATCTGTGATGAAAAATATTTTTGGCAAGCTTTTTTTTTTGTTTGTTTTGTATTGTGAAAAATGGGGTTTTTTTCTTTTTTTTTTTTTAAATGGATTTGTATAAAATATAATATCTCTTGCTAAAAGGAATGTTTTATATATCAAAATATTTTTGTTGAGACAAAATAAAATTATCTTCTTAAAATATGTTTTTTTTTTTTGTTTATCAATGCCATGTAGTGTTGTCTTAGAGGGTTGGTGAAAGAGAGGTGTACACTATCAATTTACATCAGCCATGACCTAAATTCGAATTCCGTATTGAGCACTTTTTTCTCAATTATTCAATTCAATTATTTTATTTCCAAAGCGCTATATCCCGCAAGGGATACTTGCGCCAAACAAGGAGAAAAGTTTATTTACATAAGTTATTTACATTATTCAACGCATGAAAACATTAGAGATCCAGATTTTGTAGAAAGTTTAGAATGTATTTACAAAATGAATTGAACTTTAAATATGATTTTTTATCGGAAATCAAATCGTTAATTCACAAACAACTAGTTCATTCTTCATTCTATAATCTTGAAATGCTGGGTAATCGATCAGTAGATGTCTTGAGGTTTGTTCCTCAATACCACAAAAGCAACTTGAATCCTCCACTGCCTTTATTCTAATTAAAAAACTTTTGAAATCAAAATTGCTCATTAAAAATTGCTTTAATAAGTGTGCATCAGTGAGTACAATTAACCCAAAAATCTTTTTTTAAATGTCAAAAGGATAATACACTTTTAAATATACAGCTCTTTGGAAAATTATAAAGATTTTGTTTGATTCCTTGTGAATCTCATGATATAAAGCCAACCCTGGACTGACAAGGGCCCTTAGCCTGAAACGATACTAATCTACTTTTTAAAAGCTCTTGTTATAAATGATATTGTACTAAGCTGTATCCACAATGAATCCACATTGTTTTCTTAGAAACCTTGTACGTAAACATTGATGGCTTAGAAGCATCATAACATTAGTTTCCAGGTGGTCGTTTCTCAGTTTGCCAAAGCTGGTGTTGTCACCGATCCAAGGCTGCTAGTTTGCGGCGATGGTCAATTATCTTCCCTATACTGTCTAATAGGGGGGCCAGTGGAAGGCTGGTTAAACCGTTTGGTTTTCGACCACTACGACCCGGGTTCGATTCCCGCATTAGACACTTTTTCTGATTTAAAAAAAAATGCTCCAATGGCCCCCGATTCTTGCAAAAGTCCAACCTCACCAGCGAGTGCAAGTAACCAAACGGGGCTCTGGCACATTTGTAAGTGCAAAGTCGAACTGCTTTTCACATGTGTAGACATGTGGTGCGCTTACAGTAAACGCAGTCGCTAACTACCCACCATGATTATCATGGCCTGTACCTAGTGTACTAGGGATAAGCAAAAATACTGTCTAATAGCTAGCTGATTGGTAAAAATTAGATTCCAACTTGGGCCGTGGTTATCAGGAATCGACAGCAATCTATAGTCAGAAGCTATAACCATTGCGCCATGTCCACTAATTGGTAAAAAGGGTAATTTTGGTAATGAAAACTGTCCTTTGTATAGAGAGCTGTCAGTAAGATCAAGGATTTCAAAAGTACAGTACATGATCACCTGAAGAAATAGCTAAATGTAAACCTTTATTTATGTCACGCACATACTCTAATAGATTGTAATTTTCATGCGCTCGTGTATAGTTCTTCTTCTTCCTTCTTATCTCCACTCAATCATATCAGGGTGTCAAGCTTGTAAAGCTTGAGACTTTTGATGGTGTCTGCCGGGGAAGAGTAGAGCTATTCAATGGATGAGTCAATACAGTCAATAATGTGTTTTGGGGTTGTAGGTTGAGAATTGCACTTAGTACTTAGTGGGAAATCGTGTATAGGTTATGATTCCTTATTGAAACGTAACAAAGCGTCGTTTTTAAAACGGATGATCACTAGAGATTTAAAAAAAG